GCTGATGCGGGGGTGGGGGTGGGGGGAGGCGGGCCCTGTCCCTGGAGAACCCCAGGCTGGGGCAGGTGGCCCTGTCCTTCCGGGGTCCCCAGTCTGAACCTGAGCCCCGAGCCCCTTGTCTTAAAAACCGAGAGTGGGGACATGGCCTCCTGGCTCTGGGGAGCCCAGTCCCATGGAGGACAGCCCGCTGCTGTGCTCAGGGAGCTCACAGGCCACTAGGGACACTGGGGAGCCCCCAAGCCAGGCGATGGTGACAAACCTGTCAGTCACCTGCCAGTGGGGGGTGGTGCCCAGCCTGTTGCTGGTATTTCCTGAGCACCCACACCTGGATCCACTCCTATCTGCACCGGGCGGACTCCAACCAGGACAGTAAGATGAGCTTCAAGGAGATCAAGAGCCTGCTCAGAATGGTCAACGTGGACATGAATGACATGTACGCCTACCGCCTCTTCAAGGTGGGCCCCTGCCACCTCTCTGACCTCTGCTCTCTGTCCTCCCCTGACCATTAGAGTCCTCTGTTTTCCTTTCCATCCAGCTTTGGTGGCGATAGGGGCCTCTTGCAGCAGAAAGGCCACACCTGGGTCTACTTCCCTTCATCCCCTCCCCCAGGCTATGGGGCCTGGATGGGCATGCCGGCCCAGAGCTTCTCCTCCCCCTCAGGCAGACCCCAGGGGTAGGGAGGACCTGGGGCCTCCCACCACTCCCAAGTGAGCAGCGAAGCTGTAGTTTTCATTTCTTTAAAACCCTTTGCCCAGGTGACCTGTGTGGTTTGCAATCTGGAGCAGAGGGAGGAGTCGGCTCACGGCCCAGTGCACACCCTCCTCCACTGGGGCGTGTGCGGCGCCTCCACACCTGTGGGAGCACAGTCGGGGGCACACAGGGGTGGGCTCTGCATCCAGGGCCCAGTCAGAGTGCATGGCAGACCCCTGTGTGGATGCTGCTGAGTGTCCAGCCTGTGACACTGAAAGACAGGACCACGGCACCTGTGCCCCTCCCGACAGCTCCATGTGGATCCTCAGTTCTGTGCTGCCCATTGACCCTGGGTGTGAACGCGGGAATCTGAGGATGGTAACGAATAGGAGGGGGGTGTAGCACAGAAGCCCAGTCCTGCCCCAGGGACACTGGTTTTCCTCCCACATCTTTTATTTTATCTTTTTTAATATATATTTTTATTGATTTCAAAAAGGAAGGGAGAGGGAGAGAAATAGAAACATCAATGATGAGATTCATTGATGGCCCGCCTCCTGCACGCCCCCTAGTGGGGATTGAGTCCGCAACCGGGGCTTGTGCCCTGAACTTAGACCTCCTGGTTCATAGGTCGAACCTCCACCTCTGAGCCACACCAACAGGGCTCCTCCCACATCTTGATTCTTAGGGCAGGTCATGGTCCAGAGTGACAGGCACGGAACCGAGAGATCTTCCCGAGCATCTCAGCCCTGCGGGTCACCAGCTGTGCCCTTGAGCGAGGCTGGAGCCTCACTAGCTGTTTCTCTCCCTGTGAATGGGAGACATTTGCTTTCCCGGCCATGGTAGATGCTGGGTGTGTCAGTGAGGCCAGCTTCCCCAGGGGGCCCCTCTCCTGAGTTCCTCCCTCTGCGTTCTAGGAGTGTGACCACTCCGACAACGAGCGGCTGGAGGGGTCTGAGATTGAGGAGTTTCTGCGGCGCCTGCTGAAACGCCCGGAGCTGGAGGAGATCTTCCATCGGTACTCGGGCGAGGACCGCGTGCTGAGCGCCCCCGAGCTGCTGGAGTTCCTGGAGGACCAGGGCGAGGACGGCGCCACGCTGGCCCACGCCCAGCAGCTCATCCAGACCTATGAGCTCAATGAGACAGGTGGGGGTCTGACCGAGGGGCTGGGGCCGACACAGCCCAGGTCGTGGTGTCGGATAGATCTGGGTTCCCAGATAAGGGGGCTGTTCCTGGCTGTGGGTGCCATCCCGAGTAGGTGATCTCGCCAATTCCAGACTCAGCTGCCACATCTGTAACGTGACAGAGTAACGTACCTTCCTCGTAGGGTTTGGCGTAACTTTGTCGGGTCCAGTCGGTAGACAGGTGTCATCAGTACTAAGTGGCGTGAGCTTTGGAGCATTTGGGGCTGGACAGGGGGTCCCCTGTGTGTCCTGATGCCGTCTTCTGCCCCTCCCTGCAGCCAAGCAGCACGAGCTGATGACACTGGATGGCTTCATGATGTACCTGTTGTCACCAGAGGGGGACGCCCTGAACCCCGCCCACACGTGCATGTTCCAGGACATGGACCAGCCCCTCGCCCACTACTTTATCTCCTCCTCCCACAATACCTACCTGACCGACTCCCAGATTGGGGGCCTCAGCAGCACTGAGGCCTACGTTAGGTACCCGTGGAGGGAGGGTGGCGTGAACCCTTCTGGAAGCCCCGTTTGGCGGGGAAGTGGGGCTCAGCTCCCACTGTGGGCTTCCGGGGGCCCACCTGTCTGTTTCCCTGATCTGTGCCACCCACATGACACCTTGCCTGTCTGTCCACAGAGCCTTCGCCCAGGGATGCCGCTGTGTGGAGCTGGACTGCTGGGAGGGGCCAGGAGGGGAGCCAGTCATCTACCATGGCCACACGCTCACCTCCAAGATCCTTTTCCGAGATGTGGTCCAGGCCGTCCGTGACCACGCCTTCACGGTGAGCCCAGCCCCCTCAGTCCTCCCGGAAGAAACCCCTGCCCAGAGAATCACTCCCTGCCCAGGTGCGGCTGGGACAGCAGCCAGTGGGGTAGAATAAAGCTGAGTGAGGGGCTTCCTTCTCCCACCCTCATATTCAGTAAATGTATTAAAATCTCAGAATTTCCAGGAGAAAACCTTGCGGGAGGGAAGGACATTTTAATAATTGTTGCCAAAGAGTAAGCCATAAAGAGAAGCTAGAGAGAGAGAGAGAGAGAGAGAGAGGAGCTTAGCATACTATGGTATCCACATAAAACTGCAATTTCAGTCAGGCTACACAAATCTTACCACCAACAAATGACAAAAGGGGAGGGGGAGTTTGCATACTAATGACATGGTCAATGTCATTAACATATAAAGAGCATTTATAAAAGAAAACCATTCCTGCAGCTGCCCTCAGCCTCCCAGACAGTCCACCCCTTCCCAAGGCCCCATATCTGACCTCTGTCCCTCCGTGTACAGGCTGACCCCACCCAGGTGTGTCCCACATCCCCCTCCCCGCAGTGGGTTCTCCAGAGCCCTGGTTTGGCCGGCCTGCCCTGAAGGAGCTGGGGCTGCATGTAGTAGGGGTTCTGGTTGGGATGGGAGGAGGAAAGAAGGGGTAAGTGACTCTGCGCTGTTGCCTCTCCCCCTACAGCTGTCCCCATACCCTGTCATCCTCTCCCTGGAGAACCACTGTGGGTTGGAACAGCAGGCTGTCATGGCCTGCCACCTCCGCACCATCCTGGGGGACATGCTGGTGACACAGGCACTGGACTCCCAGAACCCTGAGGAGCTGCCATCCCCAGAGGTGATGCTCCCAGAGCCTCAGCGTAGGTGGGGGAGGGTCTGTCTGGGCTCCAGCATCCACCCCTGCTCATGCCACTTCCCTGTTCAGGACCCCTCACCTCTCTCTGCCTTAACCTTCCCCTGCTCCTGCCTTCGTCGGACATCTGCCACCCAATGGTCTGATCAGTCTCCTGCTGTCCATCTTTGACCAGCGGTTCTCAACCTGTGGGTCGCGACCCCTTTGGCGGTTGAACGACCCTTTCACAGGGGTCGCCTAAGACCATCCTGCATATCAGATATTTACATTACGATTCATAACAGCAGCAAAATTACAGTTATGAAGTAGCAACGAAAATAATTTTATGGTTGGGTCACAACATGAGGAACTGTAGTTAAAGGGCCAGAAGGTTGAGAACCACTGGACTAGACCCACCCCACCCTCTCTCCTGGCATTTAGCCTTCCGTGACCTGGCCCTGGCCTCCCTGCTCTGCCTCACGGCCCTCAGAATCCCTGCGAGCTCAGCCAGTCCCACCTCGAAGGTCTTGGTTGACATCGTCTCCACCTGGGGCTCCCTTCCCAGCCATCTGGCTTGCCCAGCGCCACCTGCTTATAATTCTGGTGCTGCTTAAACTGCCTCTTCCTGTGGCCTTAGAAACTCCCCCAGATTCTGGCCAGAGGTGGTCCTGCCTCCTTTCATTCCAGACCCCAGAGCATTTTATCTGCCCCCCTCAGGATATGCACTTTTCTGGCTCCTTGAGAAAACTCTCCTCCTACTCCCTATCCCAAATATGCAGAAAATGTTGACTCACCCTGGTGTGTGTGTGATTTGATCTTTTATTAGCATGAAAATAACATACATATGGCAAACAAAAACTGAACTGTACACCAGTGTATACAATTGAAAATGGTTTTTTTTCCCACTTGGGCTCACCCCTGTCCTATTTCACACAAAGTAACCATCTTCAGCAATTTCTTGTGTGTCCTTCCAGAATTTCCCCATGCATATATACCCCTCCCCATGGCTCTCTTCTCTTTCAAATGTTACACCACAAGGGTCATTGATTCCGTGTTCCACACTACTTCTTTCAGGTGAGATCTTTGTTGGGGAGCGGCGTCTCTTTCAATCCCGAGCTGCCTCCATCATTTTAACGGCTGCTGTGTAGGATTCTGATGTTTGGAGGGACCTCATTAGCCAATCCCCTGTTGATGACCTCTTGGGTTGTTCCTCTTTGTTTGTTTTTCTGTTAGAAACCACTCATCTTTGTGTGTCTTTTCCTGCTCCTCACCCCCCGCCAGCCTCTCACACGGTGGTTGAATGACTGACCAACCGGCTGACACAGGGGTGAGAGGGCTTAACCCTTCCATATTGGTCTCTACAGCAGCTGAAGGGCCGGGTCCTGGTGAAGGGCAAGAAGCTGCCAGCTGCTCGGAACGAGGATGGTCGAATCTTGTCGGACCGGGAGGAGGAGGAGGAAGAGGAGGAGGAAGAAGAGAGGGTGGAGGCTGCAGAGCAGAAGCGGCAGGTGAGTGGGGTGGGCTGGGCAGGTGGCGAAGGGAGGGAAGGGAGGAGCTGGGGGCTGGAGCTAGAGGAACCTCTGAGGCTCATCTCCTAGGCCCGTGGTCTGCAAACTGCGGCTCGCAAGCCACATGCGGCTCTTTGGCCCCTTGAGTGTGGCTCTTCCACAAAATACCACATGCGGGCGTGCATGTACAGTGCGATTGAAACTTCGTGGCCCATGCGCAGAAGTCGGTTTTCGGAAAGGAGATAGACGAAACAAGTATACAAGACGAGTGTGGATGGGAGAGTTGGAAGGGGTTGACCTCAGCGAACGTTCCTCAATCAGATTGAGGACGTTTTTAGCAAAGGCCAGCTTAGGAGTACCCTAATTAAGTTAATAACAATGTACCTACCTATGTAGTTTAAGAAATTTGGCTCTCAAAAGAAATTTCAATCGTACTGTTGATATTTGGCTCTGTTGACTAATGAGTTTGCCGACCACTGTCCTAGGCCAAGCAGATCTCCCCGGAACTGTCGGCCCTGGCCGTGTACTGCTGTGCCACGCGCCTTCGGACCCTGCGCCCTGCCCCCGTCCCACCCCAGCCCTACCAGGTCAGCTCCCTCAGCGAGCGCAAGGCCAAGAAGCTCATTCGAGAGGCAGGTAGGAGCCAGGATAGCTGGCATCTGGGGGCAGGAGGCCAGTGGGGGCCTGTAGGATCCTGGGGGAGCATCCCGAAGTTGGTCTGGAAAGGAGATTGAGAGGCTTTGGGGGGCGGTAAAGAGGTCAGGAAGACCCCAGAGAGGGGCTCAGAGAATGAGTGCCCAGTACCAGGCCCGGCATGCAGGGAGAGGGCCCAGGGAAGAGGGCGCACAGCCTAGTGATGGGCCAGACGGAGCTGGGTAACTATGATGCAGGGTGATCAGCTGGGCCAGGATAGGGAGGGGCTGGAGGAGCCCAGCACAAGGGGGCGAGATCAGGGCAAGAATGCTGAGCAGGTGAGGCCTGACAAGACACCTGATGGACGGGTGAGGAGGAAGCCGCCAGGCGACGAGGGGGAAGTGGTGTCCAGACAGGAGGGGCAGGTTGCACCAAGGCCTGGAAGCATGATACACAGTGTTCCAGGAAGCCAGTGTGGCTGGAGGGTGTGTGGGACGAGTGATGACACACAGGATGTCAGCCTGGGGCCAGGTGTTCCATGTGCTGAGTCAGGAATGTGAGGATTTGGGGCTGGGATGCAGTGAGGGCTGTGGGAGCGGTCCCTGCCCCTCCCTGGACTTCAGCAACCTCCTCATGAGGTTCCCACACCCACCATGTCAGAGAGAAGAGGAGCTGGGGCAGGGGAAGTGGGAATGGAAATTCAGCCTCTGTTCCCAGCCTGTCCCTGGAGTTGGAGTTACAGCCCCTGACACCAGGTGAGGGTACCCCAGGAGCTTGTCACAATACCACCGAACTCCTCACCAGGGAACAGCTTTGTCAGGCACAATACCCGGCAACTGACCCGTGTCTACCCATCGGGGCTTCGGATGAACTCGGCCAACTATAGCCCCCAGGAGATGTGGAACTCAGGCTGTCAGCTGGGTGAGTGGCTGCAGAGCTGGGAGGGGGCCGGGTGCTTTGTGGGGTGGCCTCTGGGGCGTCATAGCAGGCCCAGCAGTGATGGGGCCACACAGCTTACCAGGTGGAAAACAGTGTTTTGTTGATAATAACATTTATTAAAAACTTGTGAGCAGGGTATGTGAGGAAACACAAATCAGGCTTGTTCTTTTTTTTTTTTTTTTAATGTATTTCTGTTGATTTCAGAGAGAAAGGAAGAGGGAGAGAGAGATAGAAACATCAATGATAAGAGAGAATCATTGATCAGCTGCTTCCTGCACACCCCGCACTGGGGATAGAGCCAGCAACCCAGGCATGTGCCCTGACTGGGAATCAAACTGTGACCTCTTGGCTCCTGGGTCAACACTCAACCGCTGAGCCACACTGGCCGGGCTCATTTGTTCCTGACTATGTAAAAGTCTCACATTTTTTATGAAGGTAGAAGTTAGAAATCTCCACCCCCAGGCACCCCCTTGACACATACATGCACACATACCCCTGGCAATCCCGTGCTGAGCCCAAGGGAGGGGAGTGTGGTCCCCGAGGGGTAGGTGTAAAAACCTCAGGCCTCAGCTCTGGCCCAGGCCTGGCCCTGCAGGTGGAGGCTTCTCTAACATGCCCCCTCAGGCCCACATTCCAGCCTCAAGAGATACCAGGTTGCCTGGCTGGAGGGGCTCAGTGGTTGAGCGTCGACCTGTGAACCAGGAGGTCACTCACGGTTTGATTCCTGGTCAGGGCACATGCCGCGTTTCGGGCTCGATCCCCAGTGTGGGGTGTGCAGGAGGCAGCCGATCAATTATTCTCTCTCATCATTGATGTTTCTCTCTTACCCTCTCCCTTCCTCTCTGTAATCAATAAAAAAGAAAAAAGATACGAGGTGACAATAGAGTCTAGATCGCCTGGCTGCCATGACACACCCACTCCCTCCCCACCACCTCATGGTGGGTACGAGCAGCACTGCCCAGATCTGGGCCTTGTAGGGGAGCTAGTTCTGCACCTATAGGGCTGTGTGGGGGAGAGGGCAGTGAGGCCCCTGGAACAGCGTGAGGAGAGGGCCACAAAGAGCCCGTCCTGACCCCGCTGTGTCCACAGTGGCCCTGAACTTCCAGACGCCAGGCTACGAGATGGACCTCAATGCGGGGCGCTTCCTCGTCAACGGGCAGTGCGGCTACGTCCTGAAACCTGCCTGCCTGCGGCAGCCTGACACAAACTTTGACCCTGAGAGCCCTGGACCCCCCAGAACTACTCTCACCATCCAGGTTAGCAGCCTGGGCCATGCCCTACCCTGGGCTCAGAGCCGGCTAGTCCGAGGGCACCAGCCCGAAGTGGAGGAAGATGGCGGAGGCCTGGGGACTGCGTGGTGGGCAGGGTGGGCAGGGGCCCCAGGCAGGGCCAGGCTGAAGCTCTTCATCCCCCGCAGGTGCTGACTGCACAGCAGCTGCCCAAGCTGAATGCTGAGAAGCCGAGCTCCATTGTGGACCCCCTGGTGCGTGTCGAGATCTACGGGGTGCCCATGGACTGTGCTCGAAAGGAGACCGACTACGTGCTTAACAATGGTGGGTGGGCCTGCTGGTGGAGGTGGGTGGGCAGACAGCAGAGTGCAGGGAGGTGCAGGGCAGAGGCCAGCTGGCTCCGACCACCATGCCTGTTTGTGTCCTAGGCTTCAACCCCCACTGGGGGCAGACCCTGCAGTTCCAGCTGCGGGCTCCAGAGCTGGTGCTGGTCCGGTTTGTGGTAGAAGATTATGACACCACGTCCCCCAATGACTTTGTGGGCCAGTTTACACTGCCTCTCAACAGCCTGAAGCAAGGTAGGAGGGGATGGGAAGGGAGAGGTCCGGCCCACAGACGCTGCTCGCCTGCGCTGTGACTTTCCTGAGTGCCTTTCCTGAGTGAGGCCCTAGCAGGGCCCAGCCCCCAGGGAGGGGGTGTGGGCAGGGTGATGGGCAGCAAATCCGATGCCTGGCTGCCCTCCCCACAGGGTACCGCCACATCCACCTGCTTTCCAAGGACGGGGCCTCACTGTCACCAGCCACGATCTTCGTCCATATCCGAGTCCAGCACTCCCGAGGGCCCGACTGACCCCCTGCGGACACAGCTGCGAGCGGCGGTGAGGCCTCCTCTCAGTGGAGGGCAGTGGTGTACCCGGCCAGCCTGGTGCTGAGGCTGCCTCAGTGCCGCCTAAAGAACAGGGGGGTTATCTCTTCCCTGCATCTGAGATGGCCGAGGACTCAAGGAGCCGGGCCACCTTTCATTGTGATTTATCAAGAGCCAGGCCTGCTACTGCCAGGAGACCTGGGGAGCAGGACATACGAACCCTCAGCCCCTCTGCCCCTGAGAGGAGTCCAGCCACGGCCTCACCCCACCCAGGTATTGGCCACCCCCTAAGACTCCCTCCTCAGGTTTTCCTGGGCTCTTCTCTCCGGCTTTTGAACCTGAGCTCCCTTCCCTTGTTAAAGCAAGAAGGGAGAGCTGAGGTTGGGAGCCCTGGGGACTGAGAAGTAGGTTTTTAGCTCGTTTCATAGAAGAGCCCTGAGAGGGCAGTAGAACAAGACTGTTTTAAAATATACAGCAGCAAGCTTCCTTTATCACCGCCACCGTGAGCACGTGAGGCCTCAGGTCCCTGAGGAGGATGGGGCAGAGTCCCTTGGGCCTCTTCCCAGCAGGGCTTGGATCTGACTGCCAGGGGGTGCTGCAGGCGGACTGTGAGGACAATCACACGCTGCCCCACCAACCCTCGAGGGGCCTGGACTCTGAGGGGCCCTACACAGACCCCCCACTTTCCAGGCTCAGCAGGGTTCAAGGCCTCTGTCTACTCAGTAGACAAATCCCAGACTTGGGGCTCACCTTCCACCAGCCAACCAGACTTTGAGATGAAGGCCGGAGGCAGCGGCTGCTCCGGGCTACTCTAGAGATGCTGGGAGTGTGCAGACAACAGATGAGAGTCCAGAGCAAACCTGTCAGAAAGGTGGCCTTCGAGGGTTAAATGTGGATTCAGGCATCAGCACTAGCACTGAGCAAGGGCAGAGCTCGAGAGCAGTCCCTGGAGGCAGCTCATGTCCTCAGGCAGCTTAGGGTCCAGGTTCTCTGGAAAGGGCCGAGGCACCAGCCATGGGGGCCTGAAAGGAGGAGGGGCCGGGGAGCGGGTGACAAGCTCCACAGGAAGAGAACAGGGATGGAAGACCCCGCAGAAGCTGGCTCAGTAGGTGGGCAGTGGGGCCTGGTGACCTGCAGTGTTAAAAGCATCCCTGGTGGCTCAACAGACCCCTGGCCCAGAAGGAAAGAGGTGGCATCGGGCCGAGTCAGAGGAGCCGCTGCTGACCCAGACCGAAGGGGCCCACCTGCTCCCAGCTGTGGGAGCCCGGCACTGGCTCCTCGGCCAAGGTGCCCGGCACTGGCTGGCACAGAGCCCAGCCGCTCCTCTTACACGGAGTGAAGCTGGGTCAGTACTGGCTCCTCGCTGGTGCCTGAGGACTGGGGAAAGGAGCCAAGTTTGCCCTGAAAGGGGGCAGCCTTGCCATGAGTCTTCAAAAGTTGCCCAGGGCTGTGATCACGACAGCCTTTCCCGCGGGGCACTCCCTTTCGCTCAGAGGGAGAGGGCACCCTAGCCAAGCCGGGGCTGCCAGCGGCTCCACGGCTACTTCCTGTCCACAGCAAAACCAGGAGGACGGAAGGTTTTATTCAGCTGCTTCCTTTATTAGAAACCAGTGAGATGTATCAAGCGGAACAATGCATTTGGTATTTCTTCCCCCGCCCTGGGAACGGGGCTCTCCCATAGCCCAGAGAAAAGCCAAGACGAAAAGGTAAAGCCTCCCCTTTCCTGTTCCAAGATGCAGCACCTGCAGTCAATCAATATTTTTTATTTAATTGAATGAAACCATCCCACAGAGCCTCCCCAGGGACAGTGTGTGCAGGCCTGCTTTCACTTTGCAGGGCAAAACTGAAGCCTTGGGCCGCCTCTGACTGGGGCAGGTTGGCACTGACCAGATACAAACCTGCCCCCTCCCCGGTCTGACCGCCCTTCACCCTCTCCTAGACTGCAGCTACCTGAAGCTATCCATGCCTTTGGGACACCCCTTGGGTTGGTGAAATGCTGGTCATCTTGGAGCAAAGAATTAAAGACAACTGGGACACCCACCCTCGGGCTTCAGTGAGCCAGCAAGTAGGGGGGCTGGCAGAAGGAGGTGCAGAAAAGGCCCGACCTTTTCCATAAACCTAGGTGTTGAAGTGGCTCAGTGTGGGCTGGCCTTCAAACCAGACATTAGCGTCTTTGCATGCAGGCATGTGCGGGGTAACAAGCCCTTACAGACCTCAATCCAGAACCAAGGCTTCTTTTTCTATCCAGCTCTCTCCCTACACAGACAGGGAGGCCACAGGGATTTGCCAGGGAGTCAGGGATCAAATGCAGAGTCAATCCAAAGGCAGGAGATAAACATAGAGAAACACGAGTGTCCAAAAGCCCAGTGTCAGCAAGGAGTGGAGGCGGCAGAGTATGAGGGCCATGCCCAGAGGCTCTCCAGTAGCAGCTCCCGGAGGCAGGTCCCAGGTCCTTCCCTTGTTTGGTTCTATCCAGCCATGGCTCCACCATCCTGCAAAGCTCCTTGTGAGAGGCCTTGAATCCCAAACAGTGGTCCTCTCTGACCTGAAGTCCTGGAAGGGGTGGAGTGAAGAACCCAGGGACCGTTTGGACAAAAAGGAAGCCAGCAGCAGCCACTGAGCCACCTCCCGAAGCCCTGGCGGTGGTGCTGAGGGCGGGCAGGGTCCCCACATGAACGACTGGAGTCCACGGAGGGGCCACGTGGTTTTGGAGGGAGACACGGGCCTTTCCAGGAGATCTGTTTCTTCCAGAGCAGCCACAGGCCTCAGTTTCCCTTCCATGACCTGGGTCAACCCAGGCAAACTCCAGGGGCTGTTGTGCACCCACATTCCAGAGGCAGTCAGGCTGGGACTTGGCCCAGACAGACAGCGTCTCCAGGTTTCAGTCCTGCCCAGGTAGGAAAGAGCTGGGCACTGTGTTCTTTGATATCCTTAGGAGCCTGTACTGGGCGAGCTGCTCTGGGGCTCAGGGCCTTGTGTCTGATGTCTCAGAAGCTGTAAGGCAAGCCTCCACCTCTCTGACCCCTTGTCTGTGGAATGCAGGGAACACCTTGCTAAGAACAGCAGCTTCTTTGGTCTGGGTATCTTGCGGAGTCAAGGAGTCAAAGGTCAGCCATGGTCCCTGGTGCCTGCAGGTTGCAGAGCAGGGACAACAGGAGAAGGGAGGCCCCTAGAGGCCTGATGCAAACCCAATCCAGTCTACCAAGAGCAGGCAACATTCCAGCAGGTGGCACAGCCCCGATCCCAAGCACACGATGTCTTCCAGCTTCAGGGACAGCAGAATGAACCTCTGGCCAACCTCACCCAAATCCACAGCCTCCAACAGCTCTGCTAGCCTGCAGGGCATGGCTGCAGCCGGTAAGATCAGACTGAGTCTGGCCTCCTGGCTAAGACTTCCTTCCCCCTACAAGTAGCTGAGAGGTGAAAGCAGCCAGGAAGCAGTCACACCACATTATCCACCCACTTCCTTTCTCCTAGAGCAAAAGTCACATACAAACCTGGATGTGGGTTGCTGACTATTCCAGCCAAATCCTCCCTAAGTCAGTTGGCTGAGCACACGTGAGGAATAGGAATGCCTACACAGCCGCCACGTGACCGGAGGTCCCACTACTGTGGGGAAACGGGCAGCATCATAACCATCACCACCACCACCACCACAAAAATCCACCGAACATCATCAGTGAAAATCACACGCAGACAATGGCAACATGAAATCATGTCTGTTAAGTTCAGATTGGCGTCTAACCACCGCTCCTTGCCATTCCTCGCAGGCTGTCTTGGAAAGGAGCACAAGAGATGGCCAATGGGTTGGAAGGCACAGGCCAGGGGCCTGGGAACCCACACCGTCCTTGCCCAGCCACCCCGGGGGCGTGAGGGTGCTGGCTCTTTGCTCTAAGATGAGCTAACCAGGCCTTGCACTGACATGGTCTCCACAAAGTCCCAAATGCTACAAGGAGGTCAAAGGTCCCCTTCAAACTGCCAGTCACCCCTGGAAATGGAAAAACAATCTCATGGGGCACTCACGCCTATAAGATTGGCAACAGCTGGCTAAAGAGTTGGCAGGATGACTTCCAACAGGGAGCAGGCCAAGCGGATGGGAGAAGGGACTCATTTAATGAAATCTGCTTCCACAGATCACCACCACGGCCCTGTTTCTGAATGCAGAAAAGGCTCGGGCCTGCAGGAAAGCCTCTGAGTAGGACTGGCTCCACCTAGGACTCCACCTGCAGTCTGTGAGATCCAGGCCCTCCCCACAGCTTGGCACAGTCCCCCCACCTTACTCTGCCTTCTCAAAGCCAATCATTCCAGCCAATTCAGAAGGGGAACTGGACAGAACTGCCCACATCCTCTTTCTCCCGCTCCCCCAAGAAAAGCCAATACCTGCTTTCAGAAGAGAACAATTCACTGTAGCAATGTGTACGTCTGGCACTGTCCTTGATTCTAATTTTCAGGAATGATCTGAATTCAGCTTTTCATTAGAGACCGAACATCCTTGTACATTTGGAACATGAAAGATATTTAAAATATTTATATATATATAATATATACTTTTATTATTCACCCGTTAACTCCATAATATGCCAATCACGAGCTAGTTTTCAGCAGTTACATTCCCTTGATCGTGGCTGCATAAGGATGTGATTAACTGGAAAACAGGGAGACCAGAGACACGGCCAGAGGTGACATCACGCAGCCTACGCCATCGCAAAACAATTGTCAAGTTCAGTGGCGGTTTGGTTAAGCCGGTTCACTTCTGTTCCCTTTGCCAGGGATTCTCACGTTTGTGAAAATTGGACCAACAAGTGGTGGGATTCCATTTCCTGGTTTGAATTCTCAGTGGCTTTATCCAGAATCTCACTGACAACTGGTTACTGTAACACCAGCCCAACCTAGGAGAGCCAATCAGAGAGGCAGAGTTGAGTTGACAGATGTGTGAAGCCCCTCCCACTTCCCCACGGACCTGAAGTGCCAAATGGCTGAGGCCACAGTGCTGCTCGGCTGTGGGAGCAGACGCACAGCGAGCTGAGGCTCACGCTCAACCTTTACATTTATCATGTCCTTTAAGGAGAGCAGCTGCCAGCGTCTCGAGCACTGGTCAGCAGGCCTCTCCATCCAGCAGTTATTTTGTTAACTGCTGACCACACCATGGTCCTGGGCTGCCCTTTGGAGCTGGTGGAGGAAGAAGGGCCGAGGTGGGTGGAAGAAGGGCTGGATGAGGGCAGCAGCCAGCAGAGGAAAATGCCCTCAACCCTTGACTCTAACCTTCGTGGCTCACAGTGGGCAATTCACTCGCAGGGTTCCCTGAGAGAGTCCCAAATGCCCTGCCCCAGCCAGCGGAAGTGACTCACCTGGCGGGAAGAGAAGCTGGAGACAACCTTGCTTCTGTGGCTCTGGAGCCCATCCCCTCTGCCACCCTCACACTAGTCTGGCCATTAGAGGGAGGGGACTTTTCAGGCCCAGTAGCTTACATACCTTCTCTGCCCCCATGCTGGGGCACTTCCAATTGTAAAGATAATACTGCAGGTTGCCGTCCCCTATGCCAAACTTTAGCTTCTCCAAGAAGGTTTTGTTCTCCATGAGATCCAGTGCATTGAACACATCAAACCCTTTCTGTACAGCAACAAGGAGCAAGAGAGCAGGTGAGGAGGGGTAAAAGCTGCCTCACCTTCCTGCCCTTTTCTATCCTGTCAGAGCCATCCCACAGGCGGCCACAGGCAATCTTCCTTCGAAGCTCTGGCTGCTGCCTGTCGAATTCCAACTCCAGAAAGCGCCCGCTCGCTAGTGGCGGTTCTCAGGACACCAAGGCCATCCTACCTGCCTCTCCTCAGTGAGCCTCCAAGCACACTGTGTCCTCACTGTTCCTGTCGCACGTCCCTGAAATACTCGAGTAACTGCCACAGTCCTCGCTGGAGACCCAGCCGGGAACCCCTTCCTCGGGGAAGCTAGCTCCTGTCAGCACTGGCACTGCTCCCTCACTCCCTGGACACCTCAACTCGTAGGCCTTCAGTGTACGCCCTGTGACTTCAGAACACCCGATGCGCTGCTTTGAGACTGTGATGAAGATACTTCCTACACCTCACCACCTTGGTCAGAAGCTCTCCCAGGGCAGGGACTGGACTGCCCATCGTCTAGCTCAGCGGTCGCCAACCTGTGGTCCGCGGACCACTAGCGGTCTGTGAGGTCCGAAAGGTTGCGACCACTGGTCTAGCTGGCCCACAGTGGGCTGGGCTCCCTGCAGACAGAACCCATAATGAAGGACTGACTGAGGACGACTTCTTGGGTTGAGACACCTGGGCCCCTCCCCCAGCTCTACAGTCAGCGCTCCATGACTCACCACGACAGAGACCAATCTCCCCATTCCCACGCTGGGGAGGTCGTGAGGAGGACCCCTTTCCTCCCCGAGCAGGCCTGGCTATTCAGGCTCCTTGGCAGCGCCTCCCGTGAGAACGAAACTCACTGAAATAAATCAGGAGGAGTTCAATGCCTTCACTTCATGTGGATGCTCCTTGCTCCCTCCCAGTTTCTAGCTGCTGGCTGACAACTGCTGGGCTCTCCCCTAAGCAGAGCCAGAGGACAAGGTAGGCTCAAAGCCCATGGGCAGCTACATCCCTAGCTGTGCTCACCACCATTCCACTGCCACTGCCCCACAGAGCTGCCCCTCCCTCCAGTCTGCTCCTCACCGTTTTGGCGAGAACAAGGGCGTCACTCATGAGGTCTAGAAGAGGGGTCTGGGTGTGAACGTTGTAGAAAGAATAAGCAGCCTTTAGACTCTTGTGGGTTGGATGGTTCATGATGGTGGAGGGAAGCGTATAAAAGCTCAGGAAATCTGTCACCTCACCATTTGCATTCTGAAGGGAAGACAGCGAAAGGAGGCAATGTCACACATGCACGGGAATCCTGTAGGCTGGGAACACATGGTTTTCTCTTGCTCTCACGTCACCCACAGGCAGCTCTGCCCCCCTAAACAATTGGGTGGAAGTTGAAACAGAATATGCAGGGAGGAGGAAGTACACTGGCCGGGCCCTTGAGGACAGAGCCAGAAGGAAAATCCAGGCTAGAACATGGGCTGAGTCTGTCAGCTTTCCTGGCCTGCGCTTCCCGAGACTTCTTGTGGCTCACATTCCCCCGAAGTTTGTCCCCAGTGCCTGACCAGCACTACCTCAAGCCACGACAGGCAAGGATTGCAGGCTTACCTAAGGGGCCCAGTCTCTGTCATCAATGGGGACTAGGGGTGGCGAGAGGGAGAAGGCTCACAGCAAGGCCAGAGGGATCATTTTAGCAAATGCAACCTACAACTCCCTATCTTTAGGGAGGAGCGAGCATGGATGGTCAGGAAGTCTAGGGTGCCAACATGCCCGTCAATCGGTTCTTCAGTCACCGAGGCCGGGAAACCTAGCCACTTGAGGAGGATGCCGCTCTGTGAATGGTCAGAGGCCCGGAACAGCCCTCCCCACTCACCTCCACCACAAAAGTGTCAATGATATTCTCCTGGGGGTAGAACCAGTGTTCCACCTCCTCCTGGCTCATGACTGGCGTGAGGTGGAACTGCTTCAGGTACCTGGTGAGAAGCTGGTGAACTACTGGAATGTCCTTTTTTTCCATTGGTCGCAGTCCAGCTGTTTTGGGAGACTGGAAGGAAGAGAGACAAAACAGCATCAGATGTGCTGACTGTGAGCATCCTGACTCCTCTCAGGTCCTATAGGCACCAGAAACGTCAATGTCTCCCTTGTTACCCGACTTCAGATCTATGCACCCAGGCCCTCAACACAGAACGCTCGGTCACCCTTGGCAACGCCCTCTCTCCCACTGTCCATATCCACTCAGGCACAAGTCTTGCTTCTCCAGGGTCTTCTGGCCCCTTCCCTTCTAGTTAAGGCTGTGGCTTCAACCTCTTATCCATATGCCCCAGGCCATCTTCCTAAGAAACACAACCCGCCACACCCCTCCCTTGTTCCAAACTCCAACACAGAGCACATGATCTATCCCGATCTATCCCTGAACCGGGTGGCTGTTTTGACTGCCTTCTGTCCCTCTAGTTCAGTGGTTCTCAACAGAGCAAGTCTGCCTCCCTGGTTCCCTGCCCCCCTGCCCCTGGACATTTGACACCACCGGGAGACATTTCTGGTTGTTACAAACTAGCAGGAGAGGTACTGCTGGCATCTGATGGGTAGAAGCCAGGGATGCTACTAAAGCCAGGACAGCCCCCATGACAAAGAATTACCCAGCAGAAAACGTGAACGGTGCCAAGATGGAAGGAAACCCTGACCACCCGATGGGTGTGCTGGGGTAGGCCCAGTCCAGTGCTGCTCCTGGGCTTCCACGAAGACTTTCCTGGCTCCTCTCCTCTGAGCCCTCACCACTTCCTCCCATTGAACTGGATCTCGTCCTATACTGGTCTCTCTCCTCTAGACTTAGAGCACCTCACAGACTGGCTCTCGGCTGCAGGCACTGTGGAACCCCCGGGCCCAGATCGGTACTGGGTGCTTGTTTTGTCCATTTGGATGCCACTGCACTAGTAGTCCCCTAACAGAACACTCACGCAAGTTAAATTCAGAAAAACACTGATTTCCTGGAATTTAACCTCAAACAGAAAAAAAGGCTTCAGTGGAATGAGGCCATGTGATGCTCTGAAGTTATACTGGGACTGAGAGAATATTCCCAAAGACTCAATCTGTAAAGGTGGGGTCAGCCAAATCTGACAACAGGGTGGAGTTATAATTTATATACCTCAGGCACTGCCTGATGTAACTGCTTCCCAGTGTAGGGATTGCTTTTAAAATAGCAGTTTCAGGACTTGTCGCTGCTAAAATTCCTTGCTAATCCTGATGCTGCTAGAGAACAGTGTGACTTGTTTCTACAAGGCAGCGCCCACAGTGACCCTAAAGCAGTCATGCGGAGGCTCCTCAGCCAAGGCTGGGAGACCCGGAGGCATTCTTTGGTTGCTACACACCTTAAGAATGCTCTCCGACGACCTAGAAATCAGGACAACTCTGTCATAATAACCGAAACTCGGCCCCCTGAATCTGCTTCTTTTGGACAGTGTCTAACCGCTGCCACAGTCCCTCAAAATCGGACACGAACGACCCCAATCCAGTGGGGGGTTAGCTTGATCCCAGGGTGATTAATCCAGTTGAGTGGCTTAATCAGGTCCAGGCAGGCAGCCCTCTCAGAAGCAAACACCCAATAACTGTGACGCTGCCTGGAAGAGGCCTAAGGGAACAGAAGCGATCGGAAGACCCATTAGGACCTTGAAGCCAGGTGCACCTGGAGAGCACGGAACACTTGCTTTGCTGGGAAACTAGGCAAATTGAGGCCCAGAACAGAAAACCAGCTCACTCCGGGTTGCCCATCCTTTGATGGCAAAGTCTGGATGGGGACACTGGAGTTAGAAATCTGGGCTTCCCTCACAGCCCCGATCCTCCGTCCTCTACCTGACTTGGCAGGGGGGGCAGCAGACACTCTATGGCTTAGTTACACTGGGCTCTGGGAGGTAGTGCAGTTCAGGGAGAGGACTCGTCTTTCTATTTAGGCACATTTAGGCTAAAATTGCAGAAAAGAGATGTTTTCTGAGCCCATCAACAGAGAAGCTAGCCCAGGTGCAGGCAAACTGAGGAAGTCAAACTAAAAGAAAGCCCTTGCTATAGGCGATAGAAAACAAAACAATGGAAATGGAAAGTCAGGAATCTGGAAACTATGGGTTGAGTTCGTTTTCTGACCCCTCCCCCGACCCAAAGCCTTGCTCCTCGATTCTTTCTTGCCCCCTGCCCAGTGCCCTGGAGCACCACTGGCCTCTGGCAGTCGGTAGAGCTTCATGGTTCGCTGCATGGTCATGTTTCTGCTCAGGTGGGAGAACTTGACTTCAATCAGCTTCCGTGGGTTTAGGGACCGATGCCAGTACCTGCGGGGACACAAATGTCCTGTTCTCAGAAGATTCTGGCAAGTCCCATCAGAGAACAATGACTATTTTCAACAATAAAGATAAATTTACAGCTCTAACCCGTTTGGCTCAGTGGATAGAGCGTCCGCCTGAGGACTGAAAGGTCCCAGGTTCGATTCCAGTCAAGGGCATGTACCTTGGTTGCGGGCACATCCCCAGTAGGGGGTGTGCAGGAAGCTGATCGTCGATGTTTCTCACTCATTGATGTTTCTAACTCTCTATCTCTATCCCTCTCCCTTCCTCTCTGTAAAAAATCAATAAAATATATTTTTTAAAAAAGATAAATTTACAAAATAAAACGGCAAAGCAATGCACCAAAAAAAAAAAAAAAAAAGGATAAAAGGATGAACAAAGCCCTCACTTCCCTCCAGCCCCACCAAAATGTAAAGCATCTACGTGGAGACCATTCTCTCAGTAGGTCAACCAAAAAAAAAAAAAAAAAAAAAAGGCAAGGGCATGGAGATCCCCAGATGGCCAGTAGGTGGCACAAGAGATACACATCTCTTGAGCCAGTGGCACTGTCCTGCTCTCCAACACCCTCCACCCTGCAATGAATGTGGAGCTCCCAGAGCTCTTCCTGGATTCTTTCTCCCTTTTTCTTTCTCAATTTCAAAAGCAACTCCTGTTACAGTAGTTGTCTGGGAAGAGCACGCCCCACTCCTGGAACCAAGTCAATGGGAACGACATAAAGGACTTACAGTTCTCTGCAAATGTTTAGCCTCCTCCCCACTCCTCTGCTGCACTTGCCTGGTGGTTTTACTTTTGAAGTTCTCAAGGCACAGACTCTGATTGTTTCAAACAACTTTCTGACTCAGAGGTTCTCCTTGGGTCACATGGGGATCAGACATGCTCTCTTTGGCCCACACAATATTCAAAACAAAACTGAGCCAACCATTTAAAACTTTCGGACATTTACCATAAAAATCCAGATTTGGGCTTCCTTAAAAACTAAAACAAAACCATAGCAGAGTGACCTCTTATTTCCAAACGGCAGGAATGAACAGGCGCGGAGAATGGCTGATCCCTTTGGGAAGGACACGATGTACTTTCCAGCCTGCCCTTCCTAACTGCACTCCTCCATGCTCCTGTGGGTACCCACAACCCCTCTTATCAGATACCAGAGAAGCGAGATGTTCTCGGGCACTGGGCTGAGGCAGAGATGTGACCGCCAGTGACACAGCTCCTCCACTACAGCGGACATGCCAGTACCCCAGGGCCTGCAGGGAGAGACTGTACCTGCAGGTGCCGACAGGCTTTGGTAATACCACCCCAGCAGTGTAAACAGCTTGGAAAATGCCCTCCAGGTGAACCCGCCGGGTTATCTCCCGGATCAGGACAGGAGCCACCCTCTTGGAACGCAGCTTCTTGTGGACACACAGGAAGTTGATCTCCACCATCTTCTTCTCTCTAAAGGGAGAAAATACGTGACAAGGCTTTGAACAGGTAAGGCAATCCCTACAAGCACGTGCAGCCACCCCTGCAGGGACCAGGCCTGCAGTGCAGGCACGTGCTCTGCCACCACCAGGCACTTGGGCTCTTTCCCACTGCTCTGCTGCACCAGGCAAGGAGCCGCTCTCACCACAACCCAGACTCTACTTCCGAAGGTTAAGTGGGACTCAAGCAAACTGCTTTATTTGAAGGCACTGCCAGCATCTCCCTGATGAGTCTGCAGCGGCAGGCTGCGGGAGCCCCACCTTCAGCAGATAGGGAGACTCACGGAGTCAGTCAAGGGTATTCTAGGATTGCAAGGGTTTTGACATCAAGAATCCACAACCCATAAGCCTAGAAGACTATGGCAGATGGTTCTGGCATTTCCAGGAGAATGAAGAGCAGAGCTCGAAGGCCCCGGGACTATCTGAGTGAGAGCCCCTGGCTCCAGCCCATTGCTGAAGCCGCTCGAGTGCATCAACCTGTGCTGCTGCAAGTGCACACACTGCGCTCCTGCTCAGGGAGGCCTCTCAGCCCAGGTCCCCGACAAGAGAATCAGCAACAACTGAGAGGAAAACAGACGGTTCTTACTACGAATCTCTATTCCAGGGCCTGAGCTCCCTCCCTTCGTGGGACCTTCCCTCTCTTTTGTGGAAGGTATGTGTACCTGTTTTCCTTCCTCTCCCTCCCAGCCCGAGCAGGATGGTAGGGATGTGGGAGTTGGGGGATGGCGCTGGTGCTTACGTGTCATAGATGTGGATGTTTGCTGGGATGGCGCTGATGAACCCAACCAGTTTTCGACTTGAGACCACTCGAACCCCACAGTGCCATTGGGGGAGCCAGCCAGGCGGCCGGAGAGCCCTAGAAGAGACAGGGGCTGTGGTGCTGCTCGCCAGCAGGCAGGGCGGGCTGTTTGGGGTCCACAGCTGAGTTTGGGTCTAACCTTCTGCTACCACCTCCCTCGGGGTTAGCACCTAAATTCCCGTTAGGGCCAAGCCCTCCTGGACACAAATGGAATTGAGTCACAGTCCCTTCGTGCTGCTCAGCCCACTTGGCCTACTTACCCACCCAATCCAAGGCTGTCATACTGAGGTTTTATATCCGATCCAACTTCTTTGTATTCACTCGCTCTGACAGCTTAAGCCAGAGAACTGGCCTCCGTGGCTCTGAGTCCAGTGGGTCCCGTGGTTGGGAGCCACTCATGGAGCCCCTGAAGCACTGGTCTGCACCTGCCCTCAGGCCACATTACTCCCCTCTTTCTGCTTGCCCGTCTTCCTTTCCCTCCTCCATCCCCTCTACATTCCAGCCTCTCCACTTCAGCCTCCTTCCTCTACCTTCCTGGATATTAAATGTGGCCCAGGATGACGGATGGTTCAGCCACACAAGGCCATTCTCATACAACCGAGCGGACTCAGGAACTGGGTAGAAAATGATCCCTTTTTAATTTTTTAAATCTCAGTAGCTTTCATTGCTCTTTCCCTTCTAACATAAAGTTCCCATACAGTAGATGATCTTTTCTTCTGGGTAACAATTCCACAAAGTCTCCCTCACCCAGTCATTCTATCTTAAATAAGGTTTCGATGCTAAGCTCCACTGGAAGCAAGTCTCCTTCAGACGCAGGAACTCAGAAATTACACACTAACTTGCCATCCAAAGGCTGGCTCAGTGGGGACGAAAATCTGAGGCTCTGTGTGGTTCTGCTCTCTGCCTTGGCCCAGAACCATAAGAAAACCCTTAAACTCACCATAAGAGAAATTCCGGGGAATAATCAAATCGGAACATGTTGTCATCATCTTCCACGTAATTCTCATTCAGGAGGGTGTATAATTCTTTCAGCTGTAGAGAAACAGGTGCTGCCTTAGGGATATTCTGCCAGATGGGGGCCAACTCTGATACCCTGGGGCTCCAAGCTTTTCAGAAGGACAAGGCAAACTACTAAAAACTATTTAATCTCACAAATCCTTTCCATCCCACTCAAGGCAGGGCCTCTTGAAATGAGCACCGCAGTTGTAATAGAAAACTGAGCCACAGGGGTAGAGTAGCACACTCAAGTACATAAAGTGACAGACAACCAAGAATGTCATCCAACTAACCAACACCTACTCGTTAAGACAAGGGAGTGAATGCATGAACGAATGAATGAATGGACGAACAAGCAAAATGTGGCCCTGGCCAGAGTGGCTCAGTTGGGTGGGCACTATCCCATGCACCGAAGGGTCGCCGGTTTGATTCCCAGTTAGGGAACATGCCTAGGATCTGGGTTGGCATGTGCCCTGAATCCAGGAGGCAACCAACAGATGTTTCTCTCAGTTTCCCTCCCCTCCCCGCCCCCATCTCTCTCCCCCCATTCCTCTCTCTCTCTCAAATCAATTAAAAAAAAAAAAAGAAATCTTGAAAAAAGGATATCCACCTTGAAGAGCTATAGAGGTAAACTCTCAACCTGCCAGAGAAGCCAAGTGCTATTTCTGTGGTCTTGGGCGGGCCCCAGAGGCAGTAGATGTGGGGGGTCTGCTCAGACCTGTTTGGCTCAGCTCGTAAGAGAGTCCCTGAAGAAGGCTTGGGTAGAAGCTGTCTCCACATGACTGCTGGGCTCTCTGTGACAGTGCCAATCCACACCTGCGGCCTGCCCGGGACTACTCACCACACCACGGTCCCCCAGGTCCAAGGCATCCCAGGTGAAGCCCTGGGGCAGGGTGTAGGGCTCCTGGCGGATGTTGTCTTTGTCAGGCTCCACGGGACCATGGGTGTTTACTACTTCTCCTAGAAGAAGAGCACAGCCATGAGCCTTACCCTCTGCCTCCTGGGGGCAGGAAGGAGCTCAGTTCAAAAATCAACCAGAACAAATTCCTCCTGTCCCCAGGAGCTCCCTATCTGAAGAACACTCCGTGCTTGGCAACTGCAGACCATTTCTCCAGCTTCCCTTGGCCCCTAATTAAGGGCCAATTCATGGCAAAACTTCAGAACAATCACTGGGATTCAAGGTGGTTGGTTTTTTGGAAATCCTTTTATATCTCCCTCTGGTTACTGAGTGACAAACATTAATCTTGACGAATTTGGCTTCCTGCCTCCTGGTTGGTGCAAAGAGTGCTGTCATGGGCCTGGCCCATCACCCTCGATGAATTTGGAAGAAGTAGTAACAAAGCTGCTTTTGTGACAACAGCAACAACAATGTACTGGGCCCATTCCTGAAGCAGATGATGGCATCTAGGCGCCAGGCTGGATCCTGGCCCTGCCAGCCTTAGCTTTTAGCAATGTGGCCAGTTAACGGCTGCTGCCAACTCGGGTCCTCAGTGTTTACAGAGTCCTGCGAGGGCCTTTAGGCTGAATCACCGAGTCCACACAATGCTGCCGGGAAGTTAGGCTCTGACACAACACACACACCCCCCGCCCCCTGGACAGACACCGCTCCTCTGTGGAATGTGTAGGGAGTGTTTGGGGTGCTGAGGAGATACAGCTCTGAATCCCACCCACAGCCGAGTCAGTCATTTGATAAACGTTGGACATCAAACACTCAATTCTGTCTGTTGGAGTTATTTAGCTTCTACAATTCAGAGCTTATATTCACACCTGGAAGAATGCGAGTCTTCAAAAGGAACCCGCTCAGTACACTGTTTGCTTCTAGCCTAGGACACTGCATACACTAGACACTCCATTCATGCTTTTACTGACTTTCAAACTCCTGGCCCAAACAGATCATTCGAATGTGTAACAGGCAGCTCTCGACCCGCCCAGTAGCATATCTGTGGGGCAGGTGAAGTAGAAATGGCAAGCTGTGGCTGAGTTGAGGACAACACCTTCAGCACTAACCATCCAACTCGTTCACACAACACAATTACTGAACACCAATGTGCACCAGACATCATGCACTAGGATACAGCCGGGAAAAGACAAGGTCCCCGTCTCCACAAGATGTACCACCTTCTGGGAAAATATTCAAGAAATGAAACACTACCAACGTGCTAAGGGTCACAAACTGGAAACTACAGGCAACACTGGGGGGTGACATAGTAGAGAGGCAGCCGGCTACCTATTTACAACCTGGCTCCCCAGCAGGTTTGTTTAGGAGAGAGCTGATATTTTTCTCCCTTAGTTTAGAAACCGGCCTTTTGGTTTATTCATAAAGTGGCCCTTGTGAAGTAGTTTAATATAAGTCAATCCACTCCCTTTTACTGCCACATAAAACCTGAGTGTGCAAAGCCAAGGGCCAGGTTCTTGGAAAGTACTAAGGATTTTTACTCTCATCTTATCTAGCTGCAAGTCTATTTTTCCGTATATTGAACTTATATCTTTTCCAAAATACATTTAACTTCAGACTCTTTTTGCTATTATTATTTTCCTAAATGATTTCATGGGCAAGACACCCGTGGTCTTCCCCACTGTACAGTCAGTTATGCACCCCTGACCAGCAGGGACATGTTGTAGCAGAGAAACACATCATTCGGGGATTTCTTCTAGTGCGAGCCTCAGAGTGCAATGAGACAAACCTGGATGGGATAGCCGACCACACACCTCGGCTCTATTGTGTAGCCTATTGCTCCTAGGCTACCAGCCTGTATAGCACAATGCCGCACAGAACAACACGGCATTAAATCAAGCACAAGAGAAAATGATGGAATCAAGAGATGTGGTAAACACACGACGTAGAAGGCTGCTGTCAGCATAATACCGCATACTGTTTTCAGCAAACGACTTTTTTTATAAGTAGAAAGAGTATACTCTAAAATAACGATAAACAGCATAGTTTAGTAAATACATAAATCAGTAACACTGTCATTTATTATTATCAAGTATTATGTACTACACACAATTACGTGTTATACTTTTATACAACTGGCGGTGCAGGTGTATTTACACCTGCATCACCACAAATACATGAGCAATGCATTGTGCTACAGTATTACTAGGGGATAAGAATTTTTCAGTTCCATTATAGTCTTATGGGACCACCACTGCATATGTGGTCCATTCTTGACGATGCTCAATCCACTGAACCATACAGCCAGGCTATGTGGTTCATTCTTGATTGAAACATTATTGTGCAGCACATGACCGTATTATAATAATCTCAAGGCCAACTCTTTTAATTTAGGCTAGTTACTAGGTCCTGCGTGCAACAAGTATTTCCATTTACTCCTTCACCACTTGTTCATGAAATCTTAGAATGCACCAGTTCTGTGGCAAGAGCTGGTAAATGAAATTGACATAGGTTGACTTTTAAAAAGTAAAATGAGTCCTAGCCGGTTTGGCTCAGTGGATAGAGCGTTGGCCTGTGGACTGAAGGGTCCTGGGTTCGATTCTGGTCAAAGGCATATGCCTGGGTTGCAGGCTCGATCCCTATATATATATATATATATATATGTGTGTGTGTGTGTTTTTGTTTGTTTGTTTTTTTAAAGTGCTTAGCCGGCGTGGCTCAGGGGTTGAGCATTGACCTGTGAACCAGGAGGTCACCATTCGATTCCCGGTCAGGGCACATGCCCAGGTTGCAGGCTCCATCCCCAGTGTGGGGCATGCAGGAGGCAGCAGATCAATGATTCTCTCTCATCATTGATGTTTCTCTCTCTCCTTCTCCCTTCCTCTCTGAAATCAATAAAAATATATTTAAAAAAAAAAGTAAAATGATCCTGGCTATGTAGCTCAGTTGGTTAGAGCATCGTCCTTGATTTGGCCAAGGTTGTGGATTCGATCCCTGGTCACACAAAAGCCGACCAATGAATGCATGAATAAGTAGAACAACAAATTGATGTTTGTTTCTCTCTCTTTCCCCCTCCCTCCATCCCTCTCTAAAACCAATAAATTTAAAAAATTTTTTTTAAATAAAAATGAAATATGATTTGAAAAAAAGAGATTAAAAATTTTATTTGGGAGCACACAGAATTGTTACATAGCCTAAAACACTTGCTGTTTAGAAGGCCTTTAAATGGGTGATTTTAAACTTCTAAATTTAGGGTGATTTTAAACTTCTAAAGAATTCTAGGTCTCTTTAGTGGAAAACAATTTATATCAGTCCCAACAAGGTAGGGAGTGGTAAAAACGTGGCTCACTTAATATATTTGAATTTTACAATCATTAGCTCATTTCAGTGGAAAATATAAAGGCAACTAGCTAGACATCGCACAACACTAAGGCACTCGCAAGGAGAATGAGGGCAGCACCTGTCACGCAGAGCAGCTGACACAGTAACGTGGTACTCTATGAGCTGATTCACAGAAACAAAGGACTTCACTTGGACTTAACTGGCTATGGACCTAAAAGGCAGACTGATCAGATGCTCAGAGCGACTGCTCTTCCACAAGCCCCGCACCATACACTGCACAGAAGGCATGTTCGAAAGAAATAGCACTGAGCATCGCTGCACCCTCCTGAGTGAGTGTATCAGGGCGCCTGTGAGCAACTGTGTGGCTTTCTCACGAACTTTCTGAAAACAAACAAACAACAACAAAAATGTAGCACTTTCTATAATTACAGGTGGAGAAACTAGAATAACTGGACTCAAGAGGAAGAGAAGCCTATTACTTAATTCGCTTCATCCCCAGGTTCCACTGTCTGTAAAAAAGGGAATTAAGTTATCCATTTGCAAATTCCCAGTGAAAAATAAAATCAACCCCAAACCCAAAACCCCATCTGATAACGAGCCAAGATATCGGGCAGTCACCACACAACGTCTCTCCATGCACTTGGCTGAGAGGCAGAGCACGCTGGCTCTCTGCATTCTTCCTCCGGGGAAGAGGTCACCGGACTGGTTACCAGTAATGCCCAAGGAACAGCATTACTGTGACCAAAGCCCTGCTCGAGGGCTAAGGCTGTGGGCCTGGGACCTGGGTGACTGCGACAAGGTGGATGGGTTGGGGCACGTTCTGGAATAGTGTCTCCTTGCCGATTCACGGCTCATGACCATCCAGGCAGTGTTTTGCCTGCAGGGGCGACCTCAGCTTACTTCTGGATTGCCCAAGAACTGCATCTGCTTTAGAGCAGAGCTTCTGACACTTTCAAAGTGGACACAACCCCCCTGTAAGCTCTGATTCTAAAGATCTGGAGCGGGGCCTGAGATTCTGCATCTCTACACACCCTTAAGCAATGCCCATCCTGCCGGTCTGAGAACCAGTTCGAGGAGCAAGGCTCTGAACTGTGCACTCCCCACCACTGGAGTAGACGAATCTCCTTGGGCACAGCTGTCCCTCACCAGTCCTTGGCCCTGCCCCTGCCCTCCTCCTCCTCCCCACCAAACACACTGTCAAATCACACTGTTTCTGGACGGAGCAGTAACATGAACCACCTGAAGGTCATTCACTTTTGGTGTTGGAAAACATGTTTTTTTCCAACAGACTTACTTTCCCAGTCACATAGAAAACAGGAGTTGGGCTATCAATGGGCCCAGAATCCTGACACAACCACTCCGGAAACTTTTTGTCAACAGCAACCCTCTGAAGTTAGCCATCAAGGTTAGCTGTAGCTTGGTCTCAGCGGGTACCTCTAACTCTGCTATGTCCAGTCTCTTCTGGAACCCTTTTAGATTTTCTAGCTATCCTGCCCTTTTAAGAGTTCACTGTAACTTTCTTAAGGGATGCCAACCAAACCTGCATATGGTATTCCAGTTGTTGAACCATCACCGTTAAGTAAAATGTCAAATTACTTTGTATTTAGCAAGCATGCATTTGCAAGCGATAAGGGGAAGAGGCTGAGGATTTCACCATCCCATGATTAAAGATCTGCCCAGATAAACAAGACAGTCTCTCTATAAAATCTATGTGGGAAGACAGACTCATGGGCAGACATCCCCATTCACCATGTGCCAATGCATTGTTTTTCTTTGTAGCTTCGTACTGGATGATGATGGACTAAAAGAACCATTATTTGTTCTCAGTGTGCTACTGTGCAACGATAAGGTCCCTGAACAATAGCCTTTTCTATACCGCACTTTCAAGACTACCCTCTAAAAATAACCCCCAAGGCACTCCAGGACAATATAGTCCTCACAAATTAAGTATGGAACCCTTAGCACAGCTAAGGCACACCCCTTGCCTCCCACCCTCTACTGGAAGAAAGCACACACATACCCAGTTTGGGGACAGGCTGCGTGTCCCAGAACTGGTAGCTTCTTTTGCTGGCCTCCTCCAATGTTTTGGCAGGTCCCTGGCCCACAGAAAACAGTTCAATGGCCTTCTGTATTTCCTGGATCCTCTCTGCTGGCAAAGAGTTCATCTAGACAAGACAAAGTCGGGGAGAGAAAAGGTCCATTATGTTAATAAGCACTTTTGATTAATTATAGGTTCAACAGTTAAAGGAGTACAGCTTGTGGGGCTGGTGTGACTCAGTGGTTGAGCTTCAGCCCATGAACCCGGAGGTCATGGTTCGATTCCAGTCAGGGCATATGCCCAGGTTGTGGCTTGATCCCCGGTGGGGGGTATGCAGGAGGCAACCGATTAGTGATTCTTTCTCATCATTGATGTTTCTATCTCTCTCTCCCTCTCCCTGAAATCATCAATTAAAAAAACACAATATATTGAAGGGATACAACTCAAAGAAGGGATATGATTCCTCTATCCCAATCCCAGAGGTCACATATTGTACAACTGGAGAAAGTTGTTGATTGGGGGGGGGGGGGGGGGGGGGGGGTGTTTCCTGCAGGGTTTCTCCCCTTCTTGTGATGTTTGATGGCAGAATACATGTTCAGTATAAAATTCCAAACAATGCAGGAATGTGTAATCCATATAGAAAGTAAAAACCCAACAATCCCATCCCTCAAATATAATCCCTGTCATCAACAGTCTTAATTTGGGAGGTAGAGTGAGAAGAGGCAAATATAATTTCAGACTTTTTTACATGCAAGCTCCAAATACACACACACACAATTTCAAAAACTAAAATTGGATCATTTAGTATTATTCTACAAACTGCTCTTTAAACAATATGTCTAAGAGACCTACCCATGTGGCCACACAGTCTTGCCCATTCTAACTACTGTGCATGGGCCACAGTGTATTTAGCCAACCCCCTACCAATGGGCATTTTGGTGGCTTTGTTCTTCAGCTGCAATGAACTTTCTTGTACGTCTATTTTTGCTCATTTGGATATGTATTCCTGCAGGATAAATTCTAAGGAAGGAGGTTTGCTGGATTAACAGGTATGTACATTTGAAATTATAATATATATTGTCAACTTTCCCCTAAAAATAGGTTAATAAACCAATAAATAAATTGCCGAACCGGTTTGGCTCAGTGGATAGAGCGTCGGCCTGCGGACTCAAGGGTCCCGGGTTCGATTCCGGTCAAGGGCATGTACCCTGGTTTCGGGCACATCCCCAGTGGGGGGCGTGCAGGAGGCAGCTGATCGATCTCTCTCATCAATGTTTCTAATTCTCTATCCCTCTCCCTTCTTCTCTGTAGAAAATCAATAAAATATATTTCGAGAAAAAAAAATAAATAAATAAATAAATAAACCAATAAATAGTGTTATGAGAACATGTTTCTCCAGACTCCCATAATAAAATTTACCAAATCTTAATCTCTACCAATCTAGGAGAAAAAAAAAAATACTGCTTTAATTTTCATTTCTTTCGTTGTGAGTATAATTTTCTTTTCATATATTAACTAAACATTTACATTTTTTCTTTGTGAACTGCCTAATCATTTCATTATTTTAAATTGACTGATTCATATATTTTCCCAGTTTATTGTTTATCTTTTTAAAAAAATTGTCTTTTGACTTTTATAAATATGTTGTAATTTGTCATTTTTTTATGGCTTCTGGTTATGTCAGGCTTATAATTATAAAAATGTGCATAATTTTTTCTAACACTACTTCCCCCCCCCACTTAGATTGTGAAGGAAAGGAAGACTATAAACCAACATGCTTACATTGCCTTGGGAGTTAGGGTTGTCAACATAAGACAACGTTTAAGCCTGTAGAGAATTTTTATGAATTTACTTGAGCTAAACTGACGACAAAGGCCAGGAAGCAAAATCTCAACTGATTGAGAAAATGTTCCAGAGAATGGCAGTTTTGTACCTTATTTTATAAATTACAATCAAAGGAGGAAGTGTAAGGGGTTACATAAAATCCACTGGTGATAGATTAGGGAAGCGGGAGAAAGTGGGGGAATCTCTGGCCCTGGATAAAAGTAAACCTAATAAACACATACTTCTTTTACATTTGCGGGTATTAGATAGTTAACAATGAACATAATAACAATAACAATGAGGGATTTTGTGGTCTCTGCTCTGGTGCAGTGGGGGAGGAGGGAGGAAGGAAAGAAATTACAAAAGGTGTGTTATCATAGATGCAGATGCAAAAAGACCGTAAGACAAGCTCAGTTAAGGTAAAGATTTATCGGGGAAGATACTGGCCTAGGACATGACTACCCACCATGACTCATTTTCAGTTAGAAAGTTGTTTTGTTTTGTTTTTTAATATATTTTTATTGATTTCAGAGAGGAAGGGAGAGGGAGAGATAGAAACATCAATGATGAGAGAGAATCACTGATTGTCTGCCTCCTGCACGCCCCCTACTGGGGCCTAAGCCCGCAACCCAGGCATGGACCCTTTGGTCTGCAGGCTGCCGCTCTATCCACTGAGCCAAACCGGCTAGGGCCAGTTAGAAAGTTTTAATTTCAAACCATCCTATGTGGTTACTTTAGGTCTCTGAGCTTGTAAGGTCCGCCATGCAGGCCTGCCCTGAGCTTGTCAGGTTTAGTATGTGGCCCCTTTTTCGTCCACAGGATTGTAAGTGATTTTAGTTTTCTTCCTCTTGCTATGATTTCCCCCCCTAAATTCTCTACAACAAACTACTTCACTTTTATAAAGAGGAAATGGAAGAGCTATGTAAATGGTGTTTTATTAATATTTTCTAATTTCAAAGAGAACCATTTTGATATAGGCTCAAGGTCAAACCTCCCCCTTCCCCCCCTCGCCAGCCCCCGGAGTCACCCAAATACCCATCCCCAGACAAATAAAAATAAAAATCCTAAAGCCAAAGCATAGGCTTGGGCCAGGATTCCTGACTGAAAAACCTAGGTAAGCCACCTCTCTCATCTTTAGAACGGGAAGACCGCCCCCTACCTTGTAGGGATGTTCAAGTGCCTGGCAAGAACCTAGCCAACACTGTGGTCAATATGATGGTATTTTTTTTCATAGGGGGTTTGATACTGAAAATAGTAAAAAATTACTTGAAGTCATATCTCAATAAGATAGAAGACTGAAGTTGGAGTATAACATTTGAGGCATGAAATGAAGTTTAGGTAGATTGGAATGAGACCAAATTTCTCATGAGACTTAAAACTGTTTGAGAGGCTATTCTAAAAGAGGAATTATGGGTATGTTATGAACTTCCCCCAGAATCTATTCTAAAGATGATAGGACTAGCCCTGGCCAGTGTGGCTCAGTTGGTTGAGCGTCATCCTGCACACCAAAAGGTCACTGGTTCAATTCCTGGTCAGGGCACGCACCCAGGTTGTGGGTTCCATCCCTGGTTGGGGTGTGTACGGGAGGCAACCAACCAGTTAACCTCTCACATCGATGTTTTTCTCTCTCCCTCTCTCTTCCTCTTTCTCTAAAAATAAATTTTAAAAATATATTTAAAGAGGATAGTATCAACATGAAATAATAGGTGGGTTTTTTTTTAAATGTTGTTTTATTTATAAAACAAAACAATCCTTGCTAATACCTCCGGGTCCAGTCTTAGGTTGAAAACTCTAGGCCAGTGGTTCTTAGCTAGTGGAACTGGGAAACTGTGCGACTCATGATTTTCATTACAATGACTATTCATTAACCATCTGTATGCCATAAGCGGAGGACCTTTTTAAATTAAATTCAAAATATCGTGGCAGTTAACTGATTAGGATAATGCTTGCAATACATAAAGGTCTGCCTTAAAAAGAATAGGCCTCATATTCCCACAGGGGTGGGGACTTAGATGGAAAAGGGTGAGAACCACTGCTCTAGGTACAGGGGCTGGCGCAGTGTAAGTACGCTCCACCGGCACCTTGCACAGCACCACATGCAGTGTGTACCTGTGCACCTCAGAGGACACCATGCTTGGGAGTCAGTGTCTAACCTGCTGTGTCTTAAGGTATGAGAGCAGATTCATCACCTAGGTCTAGGGTGGCAGAGGGGGCAGAGGGATCCAAGTCCTCCATCTTGAAGTAATACCAGTGGACACTGTCAATCTAAATCGTTTCTACACATTTACCCCAAACCTTTCTCATCTGAAAAATCAACTCTCAGTAGCAAGAAAACAGAGCCTCCTTGTTACCTTCACAGGCTGATCCTGGGCTGAATCTGTCTCGCTGCCTTTCTCTTTCTTCTTTTTTTGTTTCTTTTTCTTCTTTTTGGCGCCAGTGTCATTGGCTGGACTCAAACCACTGTAAAACAAGTAAATACCAATGCAGGGTTTTTACAAAAATCATCTGTTTTGGGCTACACTGACAAAGGGCTTTCTGTGGAGCCAGACCTTCCTTCATCAAGCCTTTGGCTTCAGAACAGACTAGAGAATCATCCAGGTTCCCAGAAGAGGCATTGGGAGGACACCAGAAAACACAGCTCTCCTCCCACTCCCACCAGCTCCCAGGGAGGGCATGCTGTGCAAGGAATGTCCTATTTGTTTGAAAGGACTGTTTCTATTCTTGTTTTTATTTTCTATGATTATTTTCTTTAGATTGTCAGGTTACTGGCACCAAAGGCAAATGATAACTGTTGACAGGGCATTCATACCACCAAGAGCCCTAAATTTAAAAGGATGACAGCCAATAATAGTCTCTGTGGAAACCCTTCCTCACCCCCACTCCTACCCTCCCAATGCATTAGCTTTCATGAGTTTCCCTGGCTGGATCTAAAGCACAAGACAGCATTGGAAATGAAGAAGGCAACAAGGAAAAAGGTAATTTAACATTGCTGTGTCCAAAATAGTCACACAATCATGAAAAATGCCTAAATCGGGCCTGCAGGATTGAGGACAACTGTCAGCTGGTTAAGACGGGGTGGAATCACCACAGGCAAAGCCCAGCAGTAGGGATCTCGGGAAAAGTGAAGCACCAGCCACTCCTCACAAAGAGGTTCCGGGAAGCCTGAGTGTGAGTATGAGCGTGGTAATGGGGACTTACTCATGGCGTTTTCCTTCTGTGACACACCCGGTGAATGCAGCAAAAACAGTTTCTTAGCCACATTTAGGTTTTCCACCATCTCTTATGACTTTCAAAATCTCTCTCAGTATCGTCAGTGAGACGCAAATCACATACTAGACTGTTTCTTTGACATTTTCAATTCATTTGCTCTGAAATGTTTCTCCCAATTCTTGTTGATCTTAGGAAATAGTTTTGATTCTGGGTTTTCTTCATTTTATTGATGAATTTTAAGGTTCACCTTGCAGCTTGCATTTGCAATTACTGTGTGGTTTCTGCCATGTCTAAATTGATGTTGGCATTGCTAGCCTGGGAGTAATGCCTGGTATCACTCTGCCATCCTCCTTGGAATTCTTCCATTAAAAAGTCAAAATTAATCATCATCTCCTGGTTTTTTATGCTGTGGGATCAAACCTCTCCCCTTGGATTTTCAGGCCCCAAACCTATTTTTATTTCTTGGATGGAAGGGGAGGTGGAAGCGTGAGGCTGGGAGGCCCAGGGTCTAGAGCAGGGGTGGGCAAACTTTCTGACTCGAGGGCCACAATGGGTTCTTAAACTGGACCGGAGGGCCGGAACAAAAGCATGGATGGAGTGTTTGTGTGAACTAATATAAATTCAAAGTAAACATCATTACATAAAAGGGGACGGTCTTTTTTTTTTTTTTATTCTTTCAAACCGGGCGGGACCCGCCCCGCAGGCCGTAGTTTGCCCACGGCTGGGCTAGAGCAGTGGTTCTCAACCTTCCTAATGCTGCAACCCTTTAATACAGTTCCTCATGTTGTGGTGACCCCCAGTTTCATTGTTACAAATTGAACATAATTAAAGCATAGCGATTAATCACAAAAACAGTATGTAATTATACGTGTTTTCCGATGGTCTTAGGCGCCCCCTGTGAAAGGGTCATTCGCCCCCCAAAGGGGTCGCGACCCACAGGTTGAGAACCGCTGGTCTAGAGGGTGAGAGCCCAGCAATTTGCAGCAGAGGCGAGGGAAAGGTTGCAGGATCCAGGGATGGAAGTGAGGAGAAAGAAGGGCTGAAGAGGAGTCCAAAAGAAAAAGCGATGGAACATGGGAGCTCTCTCAAGGAGTGGCTGCACCTGCCCCGATCACAAAGCTGCCTGCCCAGAGCTCTACTGGAACTCTAGGTGAAGCTCTCACTGAGCCTTGGCTCAGACACTCCCACCGCAGACCACCCTACTCTTGCCTAGACTGTGGCTGCAACTTCAGCTAATCCTCCGTCCTGGCTATCCCAGGCCCTGACTGTGGCCTGCGCATCACCTACTTTCCCCCTCAGTCTCCAGCACGTCCACGCTAACAGGCGGCCTGAGTGTGGAAAAGGCGTCACGCGCAAGTCTGCCCTGGAAGCCCATCAGTGGGTCCATCACTCTGGCAAGACCCCAAGGTGGCAGCAGCCTGCAGCGGGCTTTCAGAGCCCATCCCTGATTCGGGAGGCCAGGAGCCCCTGGTTCATTCACAGCACAGTACTTCCTCTGGAAAACAAGAGGCTAGGTGTATGTGTCTGGGGGGTAAGGAAAGGAAATGGGCATTTAAGGAAAACCAAGCTGTGTTAGGAAATGAGGAGAGGTGAGGGGGGCAGAGATGGTCCTTTGGAAGGAGGCTGAATCTGAACTCATTTTCTGAGGTTCCTGCTCCCACTTCCAAGTCCTACTTGGGATTTCTTCACAGCAAACATTTCACCGGGCTTTTCTTTCTGGATTGTTCTCTCCCTTCGAGCATTCTGGTAGGTCTCTCTCCTCGTCCTTAGAGATGGGGTCCCTTAGACATGAAAATCTATTAAAGGAGCTGGCACCCACTCTGGGGATCCCCTGGAATAGAGAGCACACTGGGCCTGTCCCCACCGGAGGGAAGCTCATCCAAGGATTCTGCCTTTTAGTCAATGCAAGTGAAACATCTGGCAAGGAAACACATGTGGAACCAAGCCATTGTTGGCACTCTTTGGTCTTAAAGACCTAGAGGGGGTCATAGGAAAAACGCTTCAGGTGGGGGTCTCTCCTGCCTCATGCTCATTCTGCACACAGTGTGCAAAAGCATTAAGCTTGCCCTAGCTAGTTTGGCTCAGTGGATAGAGCGTTGGACTGCAGGCTGAAGGGTCCCAGGTTCGATTCCAGTCAAGGGCATATGCCCAGGTTGCGGGCTCAATCCCCAGTTGGGGGCGTGCAGGAGGCAGCCGATCAATGATTCTCTCTCATTAAACATTCATATCCATCACTTAGATTCTCCAATTAACCTAGATTCTTTAATTGTTATTTTTATTTTATTACGTCAGTCCATCTATCCCTCTATCCATTCATTTATCCATCTTATTTACCCTATTTCATAGTAAGTTACAGACCTTACACTTCACCCCTAAATACTTCAAAGTAAGGCTAAGCTTTATATGCAAGGAACTTTAGCTCTTTCTTAAAGTTCAGATGTACCCTGTTAATTGACAAATAAAATCTATGAACCATAATTATCTCCTGTATATTTTATAACGTCTCATAATTAATTATCTGATCAAGATTCTTGAACTAATATTTACAATTCTGTGGGTAATAAAACAATTTGAAAACAAAACAAAACAAAAAAGTCAAAATTAGGAGTTCAATCTGAGAGTACACTAAACCTTAATGCCGGAAGCCAGTCCATCCTTGCTGCTTGACACAGTCGCTGCAGGGAAGAAACATCTGCACAGCATATGTTTCAAGGGACCTGGCATATATGGCATACTGTT